CTTAGTCAATAAATGCCGCAAATTTACGTTTAGTTAAGATAAAAATAATTTTGTTTATTGGTAGCATAATAAAACCAGTTACTGTTATTTATTGCATGTCTTTTTTACTTTTTTTAACATGCTGCTTTTGAAATACTTCCTCTTAGATATGACTTAATTGAGAATTAGTACAGGGAGTATTTATAAAACTTAGTAATTACTGAGCTCTTGCGTATTTTTTAATTCTCTAATTGATATTGAACATTTATTCTTTATATTTTACAAGTTGCATGCTACTAAAGTTATAATTCTTTAAGTTATTTAACTATAGTTGTTCCTTGATTGTTCAAACATTGCAATAAATAAAATCTTTTTACTTTCAAGTGTTTTACTTTAAGGATCGTCCATATACTACGTAACGCGAAGTTAAACTTATAGACAAAAGACATATCTTAAAAACCGTGTTTTTCTCATGGTCAACTATATGTTGCATGTTCAAGAATTAGAGCATTTAATAGTTTGTTTCTCAAAATTGAAAAACATCCTATTCAAGGTATGGTAAGTGAAAAGGGTTATACAAATAATGTTATATTATCTAATGTTCTTAATTTATAGTCTTTAGGTTTTCATTTCTAAAATTTACTGTTAAAAGTTGTGATCACATTTTGTATGTATAACTTTATTTAATATTATTTTCTTTTTTTTTTTATAGTTTTTGATAAAAATATATCTGTCATTTAATATTGTTATAAAATGTGTTTTTATGGGTTATATAAAGTCATATTTGTTTATAGTTGTAAAAATGTTTAAATTATATTTTTTACATGTTTAAAAAAGGGTGTTACTTGGTATTATGTTGAGCAAGTTTGATAACCTTGCCAGCCAAGCGGTGTACTTATAGCAGAGGTGTGACTTGGCAGCATATAGTGCCAGTTGGTGTTACTGCTTTAGAGGTAGGTTGTGTTGTCTAGCCTTTTTTTAACTATTCTGAAAACACGTAATGTTTGTTAATGTTTAGCGTAATGTGTATGAGAGAGTGAGCAATCTTAATCTTTAAATCTAGCGTGCTTTAATGTCCTAAATTTGAAATAATTGAATAACTAATATGAATATAAAAACAAATATACAAATATTAAAGTTTAGTAAAAAGAACAATATAGTTAATTCTAAATTGATTTTTTAATTTTGCCTTTCATATTTTAATTTAGTTTGTTAATTTCACTGGATGTTATTGTATTGTGTTATTGTTTTAATATTGTGATGTTTTGTGTTGATAGGCAGCTTGGCTTACCTTCCCGTTGGTGTTGATCGTTAAAAATAATAAAGTTTTATTATTGTAACTTACTGCTTTTATTTATTTACTAAAAACTAAAACAACATTTTGTTAAAAATGTAATTTATATCTTAGTTTGATTTTTTTTTAGTACTGTCACTTTTTTACTTCAAAACAAGTTTTATATTTACATTTTCAATAAATGTTTATATTAGCTGCAATTTCAAAATAGACTACTATAAATAGTTAAATCGATTTTCAGTTTTTATATAGGGTTTTTTTTGTTTTTGTTTTTTTTTGTAAATACGATATCATAATTCCAATACTTTTTTATTTCAGATTTACGTTATGATGCATTTATAAGATTTATAAAAAAAACTGATTTTCTTTTATTGTAAATTTTTGTTTGTTAAAAAGATTTAATATATGCAATTAGTTCAATTTTTTTTTATATTTTATCTATTTTATGTCTAATAATTTTTTGTACGTATCTTAGAGGATCTTTGTAAACGGGGGGTGGTAACTAAAAACCTTTAAAAGCATGGAGAATATTGCAGTTTTCCGCATTTGTCAAATATTGAGTTACATACGTTTTATTTACGTGTTTAACTAATTAGTTAGCTTAGTCTGCATTTGCAACTTTTGAGGAAAGAAAGAAAACATTCTTATATATGTTAATCATTGTTTTATATTTTACAATTTTGGTAAAAGGACTCAATCAAAAACTTGATTACTCTTAATAAAAAAAGCTCTACTCACCTGACCATCATTAAAGCAAAAAGAGGGGTGGAACCTCTTTATTAGTGTCAAAATATTTAGGAAAGTTAAATTTCGAGTAACAAAATGAATTTTTAGTAAATGGTAGCAAAATACCGTTTACTAAAAATTAATGAAATAAAGAGACCAAACAAATAATATAGAAATAGTCTGTGTTGAGCAGACTTAACAAGACCCGGATCCAGTCAGCTTAGTTTACAAATTTTTATTTCTACTTATCTGTAACAATTTTTAGTTTAGGTTTGTCATATGACGCATTAATGCAATATAAAATATCGAATTTTACATATTTTTTTAAATTGTTAACATGTTAGATTGTAAATTAAATATTTTTTGTTTGAATTGTATTTGTACTCAGTTGCTCAGTTATTTATAATAAACTTAGTTATTATTGATAAATTTATTTATTGTGTGCATATAACGTTTTTAAGTTAATAATTTTCTTTAAATTAATTAATGGGTAATATAAGTTGTCAGGTCAGGAGTATGGATTTGTCAGGTCAGGAGTATGGTCTTCATGATCATCCTGCTACTGGTAACATGTAACCCAGTGCAACCTGTTCCATGTTCTGCTGCCTTGCAGGATTTGCTATCTAAGCAAAGGCTGGAAGGAGTGTTCTTCCTGTCATCAGTACTATCTTATATCAGTCATGCCTGTAGGAATTTTTTTTTTTTTTTTTTTTTTTTTTTTCCCATATAGCTGGAGGTGCCTTAGTTACTGTATTAGCTCACCTGTAATCTACGTTATATGTATCTTTGTGTTCTGTCTGAACCTCTGGCGCGGTGTTCGCTCACCCGTAAGTTACTATATGTTCTTTATGTATGTCTGTGTTCTGTCTGAACCTCTGGCGCGGTGTTCGCTCACCCGTAAGTTACTTTATGTTTATGTTTATGCTTTTTATGTTTTTTTTATGTATGTTTGTGTTCTGTCTGAACCTCTGGCGCGGTGTTCGCTCACCCGTAAGTTACTTTATGTTTTTTATGTATGTTTGTGTTCTGTCTGAACCTCTGGCGCGGTGTTGACTCACCCGTAAGTTGATTTATGTTTGTTTGTGTTCTGTTTATACTTTAATGCAGCGTGAGCTCAGTAACTAACTACTTACTCCAACTACAAAACGTTCACTCACCTTAGACTCCTGTATTTTGTTAGATGCAGTGTTTTTCCTAATGCACTTCCTAAATGTCATGCCTGGTTCTCTCAAAGTACTGTTGCGGGAAGTAACTCCCTTTAACTACTCCAGGTCAGGTCAGGATAATCGAGATCAATCTTGCTACTGGTATCACGTAACCCAGTACCACCTGCCACAAGCCCTGCTGCCTTGCAGAGTGTGCTCTTCTTAAGCAAAGGCTAGGAGAAATAAACTCCGACTTAAAATTCCCCTGCCTTGGGGCTCTTGGTTGAATAAAGGCTAGAGATGGTGTCTCGATAAAAATACTCATCTTGGGCAGATGTTAACTGCATCCTGCTACTGTCTTGTAGAAGGCCTCCTAGGCAAAGACTTTAGGGGTAAGCAGAAAAGTTCTGCTAACCAGCCTCGAACCCCTTCTTCATCTATTAGGCTGGCGTAGATGTAACCTGTGTTACATTGTTTCCTGCCTAGGATGATGAATGCTGGATCTCCTTGACTCTACTCATAGAATTTTGCTTATGCCTCCTTGATAATGGCTATGCACCTCTTCTTGTTATCTCCATATGAGGGTACAGCTCTAAAACTCAGTTTAATGGTTCTGAGGCCGGCTGGTAGTAAGGTTTCCCGAACTCTGTGGTAGCTCTCAAAGAGGCTGATTCCATCAACAGCTGCAAAATATGAGAGTATTAACAGTGCCATGTTGCGCATGGATGGTGTCCCTGTTAATGCTTTTGGTGTGCATTGTCAAGGCCACATAAGGAGCCCTATGTCACGGCTTAGGGTTAATTAACAGGACTGAGACAACTGCATAGCTCATTGATTAGGAAGCTGTGCTCTATCTATGAATGAGTCAAGTTTTCATTAAACCCAAATCATGACCAAAGTAACCAAAAATTTAAAACCTAAAAAACCATCCCCATCACCTAAATATTTTAATATATCTTTTACAAATATTCGCGGTCTACGAAGCAACTTTCCATCAGTTGAGTCTTACCTCCTGCAAAATTCACCAGACTTGCTTGCACTCAGTGAAACAAATTTAAGTTCTGCAATTCCTTCTTCAGATGTCAGTGTTGATGGGTACTATCCTTTGATTTGTAAAGACTCCAATAGTCACATGCTAGGTTTAGGGGTATACATACGCATTAATTCCCCTATTTGTCGTGAAATCAGGTTCGAATCCTTTGACCATTCTTTTATGTGCTTTCGCCTAGCACCTCTTCACTCTATCACCTTTCTCTTTGTTCTTTATCGTTCTCCTTCTTCCCATGACTGCACTCTTTTAGATGTTATCTCTGATCAAATTGACCATGCCCTCTCTCTTTACCCCTCTGCCAATATTGTTATTGTTGGTGATTTTAATGTCCATCACACTGAATAGCTTGGCTCTAACACCACCGATCCTGCTGGCACTAAAGCCTTTAACTTCTGCGTTTCTCAATCTCTTACTCAGATAGTTAACTTTGTGACTCGTTTTCCTGACAACCCTAATCATTTACCTTCACTCCTTGACTTATGTCTTGTCTCTGACCCTAGCTTATGTTCAGTTTCTCCCTTTTCTCCCTTAGGTGGTTCTGACCATGCAATGATCTCTATAAATCTTTCTTCTTGTACTTCTTTTTTGGGCTCACCTTACCATCGCACCACCTACTACTACCCTAAAGCTGACTGGGATTCCTTTCGTGATTTTCTTCGTGATGGTCCTTGGGCTGATGTTTTTTCTCTCTCAGCTGACAAATGCGCCTCCTACATTACCTCCTGGATTCAGGCTGGAATGGAAGCTTTTATTCCTTCGCGTCGGTTTCAAGTCAAGCCTCATTCTACTCCATGGTTTTCTCCTTCTTGTGCGGCTGCTATATCCAATCGTAATCATTTTTTTCATCTTTTTCAAAAGAACAACTCTCTTGAGAACAAACGGCTATTTATTGTTGCAAGAAATCGATGTAAAAAGGTGCTTTCTGATGCTAAACTCCATTATTCTCAGTTCACTAAATCTCGCATCTTATCGCAGAAGTTAGGCTCTAAAGACTTTTGGAAAATCTTCAACAGCATTGTTAACAAGGGTAGATCTAACATTCCATCTCTCATTCATGGGACTGATCTTGTTACCTCTCCCAGGGATAAGGCAGAACTGTTTGCAAAGAACTTTTCTTCTAATTCCACTCTTGAATTTTATGAACATTCTCTTCCTTGCATTCCAGTCAAACAGGTTGACCCATTGTTAGACATTCAAATCACTCCGGCTTCTGTTGCTAAAGTCATATCTCAATTAAACTCGTCTACAGCTTGTGGTCCAGACAACATTCCTGTCACAGTCTTGCAGAATTGTTCTCCAGAACTTTCTTCAATTCTCTCTAAACTATTTAACAAGTGTTTGACTGAGTCTTGTTTTCCTGCTTGTTGGAAAATGGCATCTGTAGTTCCAATATTCAAAAACTCTGGAGAAAATTCTGACCCCTCCAATTATCGTCCAATCAGTCTTCTTTCTGTTATTAGCAAGGTCTTTGAGTCTTTGATCAACAAATTCCTCACATCTCATCTTGAGTCAAATAAACTGCTGTCAGACAATCAATACGGTTTTCGATCCTCTCGCTCTACGGCCGACTTGCTAACTGCTGTAACTAAAAGATTTTATCGTGCATTAGATGGAGGCGGTGAGGCTAGGGCTATTGCTCTCGACATATCTAAAGCTTTCGACAAAGTTTGGCATGCTGGTCTTCTCCATAAGCTTGCTTCATATGGTGTTTCTGGGAAAGTTTTTGAGATTATCAAATCATTTCTTTCTAACCGGTTTATTAAAGTCATCCTTGAAGGCCAACACTCTTCTTTATTTCCAGTAACTTCTGGGGTTCCCCAAGGTTCCATCCTGGGCCCTGTTTTGTTTCTTATCTACATAAACAATCTTCCTGACAACCTTTCATCTAAAGTAGCTCTTTTTGCTGATGACTCAACTTTATACTCCTGTCTTGACAAAAAGTCTTCTCTTTTCGATCGCCTAGATTAAGCAGCTGATCTTGAATCCGATCTCACTTCAGTAACAGATTGGGGTTCACAGTGGCTTGTGAATTTTAACTCTAAAAAAACCCAATTGCTTACTGCAAACAACTACCGTAATATGGTCAACATTCCTATATTAATGAATGGCAATCCTCCTACT